ATGGAAATAGGTGACGATAATAATATACTACAAGATCTATAATTTTATGTATGAAAATAAAATCTCTGGAAGAAGCCATTTTCAAAACTTCAGTAATCGCTCAACATAAAAGGGTTTGATATCCACAGAATAAAGTTTTGTTCATCAGCGATTACTATAATGTGAAACCGTTCCGCAGTTGCAGATTGCATAGTTGATGATTCGTGATTAAAAAAAAAAAAATCAAGTGTTATACTGAACATGCATATCACTACTGTTATTGCAAAGAGTCGTATGTAAAAATTTGTTGTTCTACAGTAGAGCATAAACACTAATTGTTTCATTATGATTTATTAGTATAATTGCATATATTAATACCCCCTACTATTTTTCATCGCAGCAGAGTGCTTACATCAGCTTCAGAGTACAAAATGTCACCTTTATCACAAATAGAACAAAAGTTGAAGATTTTTATAAATGACCTTTTGCACTAACAATAGTGATATATACTTGAAAGGTATGTTTTCACTTGTAAAATGGCCTTCGGTAGTGAGAAAGCAATACAATACAGTTAACTTAAGAAAGCAATAACTCAAGATGCCAGTGATTATTATTATTATATTATGATTATTACCCTCGGTTGAAGGTATGATTCATTGGATAATTAATTTGAAATATTTAAAGAATGTCTGGCTATGGCAGTTCCCAGCATTGCCGCTTTCTGGACTTCTTGAAGTCCCCAGCTTCATTCAAGTACCTTCAACGATTTGATGGTTTCCTCAGGAATCAAACTATTAATGTATACCATAATCAGTAATACTTTCGAATTTTTTCCCTCAATGTTCTAGTTGCATTATCAACAGCAGGATCTTCGACTTCGATATACTTGGTTCTCTTTAAGTTTTTGTTTATGAACAATATAGCTGGTCTATTGTGGGGGATACTATAGTCACGTTTTATATTTCTATCACAGTACAATTTTCCAATATTGTCTATGGTTGGTGTCTGTGAAACGGCTGATGGCTAGTTATTAATTTATATTTTTGAGCCAGAGCCTGATACACAACTTTGACAGCATCATTATGCCTCGTAAGGTATTGTTTACCTGCTAATGCCTGGCAGCCAGAACCTTGGGTTAAAAGGGACCGGCAATATATTTGTTTTAATCCTGGAATAGTCTTAGCCCTTTCGTTTCAAGTTCTAGATTACATCACGTTAGGTTGAATCTATTGCATAAAATATATGATTTATAAACAGTAAAAGCCCTTATCCGTTTTTTCTGGTAAATGTCAAAGGAATCAGAATCTACAAGTAAATTTTAAAATTTCTGTCTAGTGTGAGGATTCCGTGTTGCTCGCTTTCGAAATAATATTTTAATTTTAAACTCTACTCAGAAATATCAGATTTAAGGAAAGCAATTACAAATGCTAGAACAGGCTTAAAATATGAATTGGTAAGATCGAAAGATTTCAAAAACAAATGTTCAAGTCTGTCTAAAAACGAACCACACTTGTATGTGCAAGCATTGCCAAGACATTGATTTTACATTAATCCAGAGAAGACACCTCATATAACAGCAGAAAAAAAAATCAACTATAAATTCACTCTAAAACACCTCAACATATCGTTAGGAAAACAGAACCGTTCCAATTACATTCTAAAAATTATTATTTATTTTTTAGCTTTTGCTCTTTTAAATATGAGATTAAACTATTATTTTCTCATTATTTGAGAATTAATTAATTCTCACTGAACTTTAATTTGGTAGATTTACTAATATCTCACAAAGCTGGGGACTAAAATTTAGAATAAGAGATTATTCCTGTTTCCTCTCCAGTGAGAAAGCCATTATCGGAGATTTAAGACTGCGCTCTTAATGCAGATGATAAAACTTAATTACTAGGCCTATGGGTTGATGGATGTATGGTGGAGCTTAGCTCAGAGCAAACAAAGAACTTAAGACACGGCTTAGTCGAAATCCTTTAATCCCAGCGGGATGTTGCGCTTAGAGGATTTTACCATTTTCTATCCTCTGGCAGGTCCTCAAGCATTTCTAACTTCTTCCGGACCCTGGGCCATCCAAGATTTTATCTCCAATTGAATTCTTTCTCGTAGGCACAATTGCAAAGTGTTTCCCTTTATACATTGTTCTTTTTCTCTGAGGTTTTTTCTTTTATCAATACTGTACCATTACAACCCATGGTGGATCTTGTGTTCACTACTTTATAATAGCATACTGTTTCGAAGCCAACAACTGCAGAAAGCTGATAACACCAGGAACACGCTCAACCGCAAGGGTTTTCCCCTTTAATTAATTATGTAATTAAGAATATACTCTTTATAGAGGCTGGGTGTTATCCAGGAAGTTCTCCCGAACTACCCAATACTATGCTTTCCATTACTTTAATATTTTAAGGTAATGTGTCTGTCTTAAAAAACTTAAATATATACAAATTCTTAGTCCATCTGGAATGGAAACTCATATCATTCTAATTGCAGAGGATGAACATTTACAAGCACCTATAATTACTAAAGAATAACCAGTTACGATAATAAATAAATAAGGAGAATAAAAAAAAAGTTGATATAAGTTTTACTGGCTTATTACCGAAAGATTTTAAAACAATGGCTTTTTAAGTACTACCGACGAAGTCATCAAATCATGCAGTCATAGTTAAGCCAATCCAGGCATGACCTGAACTGAAAACCACCAATTAGCATTATTCCGAATCAGTGATTGCCCACTTCACTTCTACTTCCTAAAAATTGAGAAACATCTTTCTGAAACCTTCCCACACATTGTAACCTCCCTTATAATCTCCCACTTCGACTAAGGCTGTGGTCTATGGAGTGTTTCAAAGGTACATCTTCGGGATCCCCAGGCGTTCACATGTTTCATTCTGGTACATCCAGTTTCAACTCAGTGGCTCAGTGGAGGCTACTTCCCGACGACAATTCCTCCTTGGTGTTTCCGTCTTCCTCCATTTTCTCCATCTTCCAGGTCTTCAGAACCAAAAACCCTCCCTATATCCTGGTACTCCTTACTCTACGTTCCTCTATCCACTCTCTTAATACCAGGTCTCTACCCATAGACTTATGGATCTCCTCCCATAAAACTTCTTCCTTCAGCAAATCCTTCGTCATTCGCGCTACTTCTTTTTGAAACTTCCTACCTCCATACGTTAATCTTCGTCTACAAATTCCTTCAAACAACTCCTGTTCCACTACCTACTCCATATTCAAACTGCCGCAAACATGTAAAATTACTTGCATCTGCACACTGTTTAATTTCAATTTACTGCACAGTTGCAATAACAATCAACAGTTAATTAGTTTGTATTTTTTATTATTCTAAGTCAGACTAAGACCCATAAATTTGTAACTTTGTTATTATTCTTAGATAACAGCAGCCCCAGAATAAAATTATTTTTTTCATTTCATTTCACATATACTTAATGGGAAAGGATATGAGCACAATTGAGAAGATTTGATTTTGTTCAATTTAAAGGATTGATTAAGAATATCAACTCAACAGAAAACGCGCACTAAACCAGTGATGCACTATGTAACTGCTTAACTGAGTATTGGGTAATAAATTCGCTCAAAAACCGGGTAACCCAGTGATATTTTTAGCAGGAGAAATAGTAAAAGCCAACTCAAGTTAAACCCCAATAAATTACGGTTGTGGTAAATTCATTATTACAAGTAGTACAATAAAATTTAACTCTTAATATAAATTACTTTATTTCGATTTAAATAAATACCTACCTACTTGTGAAAACTTGGTACCTGGTATGATGCCGGATAATAACTTTATACTTAATATTACAGATAATAATTAACCAGTTTAAATAAATCTAATAAAATGGTTCGTTTTTAATTAATATCTAATCTTAACTATAATAAGTTTGTTATTTTTCATTTTACTTTTTAAAATATTTAATTACTATACCTAATTTTCAAGTGACCAGATATTGCTTATTAGTTATTTAATTCAATTCATTCTCGGCTGTGAATTTATATTACTAAAACTAAGCAATGGCTTGAATTTTTTTTATTTCCAAATAAAAATATTTTCAGGTAGACTTTTATCGCTAAAGAAATATCCATAAGAATAAATACATATTTTTCAAATACTGGCATATATTTTTCAAAAAAAAAAGTACGTTTCGAATATGCCATTTTGAAATAATTCTTCCAGCAGAGATATATTCCACATATTGCATTTGCTAAACATCCTTTTCAAAAAGATGCACTCACTAATATTTAGATTAACTACTTAAATATTATGAGAATCAAGAAAAATTTCTTGAATACTGTCTCAATAAACTTTAATAAAACTTTTTTTTTTAATAGTTTTTAATGAATTACAGATCATCCTTGTTTAAGCATAGGTATACAATCAAATTGTCGCGAGGAAATATTGTCTGCTTCAAAATTAGGTTTTAATATTGAAACTTTTTTAATATGTAGATTATATTTTTAAATATTCTATTGGCAAATTTACAATAATTTTCCATCTTCTATTAGAGGTATAAATATATTTTTTTCTCGTTAATCACGAACTATAAAGAACTAATGATTTGGATAAAGCATTCATTTGATGAGTAGTCATGATTATTTTATATTTCTTAAACTGCGTAAAGATCATCCATAAATCAGCGCGTATATTAATGATTTTTCCCTCTGTTTTATTCATCTACAAAATTTATCAATAATAATATATTTGTTTAAAATTATCAGTTCTTATTAATGGAGTATATTGAAATTTATATCGACAGTCTCCGCGATTAAACAAGGCGAGATCTGTAAGACGATTATCCTCCATATTGAGATTCAGTGAAGTATGCTCACGGATTAACGGGGCTTCGTCGACACTTAAGACTGTTCTAAGCTCTTGGATAATAATGTGTTAAGCATTTATTATTCATAGACAGTAAACAATTTTATTTTTTTGTTTTACGTATATTATAAATTCGCTAACATTAATTGCTATCACTGACGATCAATTACAATTACAGGAATCATCAACCGTGGCGATTCGTTCAGGAAGAAGCGGTCCAGATCGAACTCTTTGGCAGGGGAGGCCTTGGAACCCATTCCTCCAGCTCCAGCTTCGGTGTACTCCGTGGCCATGATCGGGGCTGCTGGAGTCGGAAAGACTGCCCTGCTATCGCAATTCCAGACCTCGGAGGCCATCAACCCCTATGACAGGGTAAAAGGTAGGTTTGATTTCCACCCCAGTCTTGTTGTTTTGATTTTCTTTTTGTCGACGTTACGACCTCCATCAGGTCATACCTATATAATTATATTCTCAAAACATATTTGTTCTCTGGTCTTTGCTTAGCTCTATTGAAGGCCTGAAACTTAGGTCTTGACGTTGACATAAAGAAAATAAATATTTTTTGTGTACTTCTAATCACTGCAATCAACAATTCTCTTATAAGAATCTACAGTCAATCATTCTATCACCAAAATATATATATATATATATATATATATATATATATATATATATATATATATATATATATATATATATATATTTAAGTAGTTATAAAACTACTTAAATGTGATAAATATAAAATTTACTTAACATAATTTATCTTTAGTGAAGTTATTCATAAGTTTTCAACAGATTATTGTCCTTTTTTACTTTACAAGGAGTATAAAAAAAAAATGACGTTCCAACATAATTACTACCACTGTGATTTGGGTACTTGGATGTAGAAACATGTTTAGCTACAATAGTCAAAGGTCAATAAAAGGAATAACAATTTTATTTGTAAATGCGCCCTATTTCCTTAAAGGTTATTATAAAATTGGTTGAAAATAATCTTTGTTATAAGTTTTTTCTTATTTAGGACCAGTTGTACAGTTCTAGTTCAAGTCAAGTTCGTGATTGAACTACAGTCAATCATTCATGATTTTCTTGGTTGATTGTAGTTTAAGCTTGAACTTGACTTGAACTCTCATTCATTGTTGATACCAATACTCCTCTTGAGCTTGGCCTTCAGCACTTTCGTGACGTGGTTTCGTCCCCACCACATTTACTTAATTGTTTTTGAAAATATAATATAAAAAAAAAAATTTAAACTTTTTGCGTATTTATTGTAATAACCTAGTCTCCATTGGCCTCTAAAAATTCATTGAAGTATCCACTGCTCAAAAGCTTTTATAGAAAATACTAACGCTAAGTGCTGTTGAGAAGAGAGGACTCCATAATAAATAATATACGTTCTCGGAATACTAGCTTACTCGTTTAGAAAAAGGATGAAAGAGATAATATTTTTTTTTTTTTTTTGAACTCTGTTTAAAGTTTATAAAAAAACAAACAGAACTACCCGAGCTTTTACAAGGTAACGCTGTTTGTTTTCTCCATATACTTCCTCTCCAGTTCTATGTGCTGTGAGTGTTATATACCAGCGGAAACCTTTGGAAATCTGGTTCTCACACTGGTTTTTCCACGATTTTATAAAAATAATTATTTCTTGATCTATTTATTTCTAAAGTTATAGTTGGACATTGATTTGAATATATTATAATGTACAATAATAAAAACAATTTCAGATACACCTTTAGATTCGATTGATGGCTTTAATAATTGTAATAAACGCTTAGCGTACCCGAATAACACCAATCGCTGTCTACGTACTTCCAGCCACTGACCCAAACAGATCTATCTTAGCCCAATCCTCAACCTTCTCTTCGGTCTACCCCTTGGACAATTGGCAGTAGGCATAGCATTCTGTTCTTAAATAATAATAATAAAATCTTTTCTGAAGGGAATCGCTAGAATTGTACAATTATAGGCTAACATTTGACCTTTTCGAATAATTCTCATACTATATATTGGCCCATGACCAAATGGCAAAATAATTTAGAAATAAATTAATGCCATGTAATATGAGATGGAAAAATAATTATTTTTTTCGTTCGAATTATAATAATTTATTAACATTAATAAACCGAAACATGTATACAAATTACTGTATCTTTGCTAATATTCTGTATATTGTAACCAAAGTAAATAAATTAATTCATAGGTGATAAATATTCAGAACGCAGTCTTTTTAATTTTTTTTATTTATGCCAACGTTTCAACCCAAACATGTGGGTCATCTTCAGGGCGTGGTTTGAGCACTGAGGGTGTTCAAGTACTGAAACGTTGGCATAAATAAAAAAATTTAAAAAGACTGCGTCCTGAATATTTATCACCCATGATATGCAGAACAGTCGACTAACATCCTTTATAGAATAAATTAATTCAAAAAACATAACTAAATTAATGGCGCTTACTATTACCTCATTTTTTCTCCTATCTCTGCCTATGCAATATTAAAAAATTAGAGCAGATCCGTAACTTGGCGAGCTCCAATATCCGAGGCTCTGGTCTATTATTGGAAATCATAAAAAGCAAAAGAAGCTAACTAAATTATGCTTTTTATTTATCATCTGCTTTCAATAGCACAAAAAGTTTTAGTATTTCCATAAAATACTATTGTATACTAGAAAATTTACTATTGCACAGTTGTCAAAGTTTTCATAGCCTGTGTTCATTTTACTACCTCTGAGAAAATGAACATAAAAATTTCGTGACTAATGTTTGAAGGCAATTTACTACACACTTTATTTTTTTTTATATTATATTTTATTTTGTAGACCTTATTTTTATTTTTAAATTAGAGTTTATTCTGTATTTTTTTGGATTAGTGTTTATGTTGGATAACAGTAAAATTTATTTATTTTTATATTTATTATAGTTTATTCTGTACACTTTATTTTCATGTTAGAGTTTATTCCGTAATTTTTTTTATATATTAGAGTTAATTCTATACATTTTATTTTTTTTATATTAGATTTTATTCTGTAAACTTTATTTTTTTATATTGGAGTTTATTTTACACACTTTATTTCTGTTTTATATTACAGTTTATTCTGTTCTGTATGAGCTACAGAGTAATACAGACCAGAGTAATAGCACAGCACATTGTAATAGCACATGTTTGCTGACATCTGAGAGTCTTTTTTTTGGAATCATTTAGTAATCTTATAACAATCATTATAATCACTTTATATTTATTTCTCTCTCTTAAATTAAAATAAATAATAAATTATTTAATGTAGAATGATTTTATTTTTATGACAAAGAGTGAGTATTACACCTCATTTTTTGTAATTTTCATATAAAATAAATACATCATAATCTATATTTCGGAGTTCTACCATCAGGATCTCATTATCTCACGTGATAACTCAGATCTTACTTCAAATTATGATAACTTTAATTTTATAATAACTTTCCATAATTAGATCTATAAATTTTTACAATATATGTACCACTTTGTGGAACTTTTTAAAAAGCAGCTTTTTAAATTATTTAAGGAAAGGAACGAAATAATAATTTAAAAATCGTATGCAGTAATGACAAATTAATTGGAAATTAAATTAACCGAATTTCCACGAATAGTGAGATCTCGTGGAAACCTTTACTTTGATATATTTATTTTGAATGAAAAAAAAAAAAAAAGAAATATTACTCTTCACAATCTACTATATACGAATAGAAAAATTATTTTTCATTTCAGGCAAAGAATCGAGTGTGCTATCAGTTCACCAACAACGAGTTCACTCAAAAACGATTTATGTTGTACATATAATAGTGAAATATATATAAACATTAGTTACAAAAACTAAATAAATAAATTAGTCACTGTTAATTTTTCAAGGGCAATTAGTTTATATCGTATAATTTAACCTTTTCATAACACCCTATTTTTTGTAATCTTCAATCTCAATCTTTTTTTTATCTTAATCCGATGATTTTAAGTTCATATTGTAGTTTTTATTTTAATATTTCCTATATCTTTCTATTTCCTCAATAATTATCAGAATAATACACAAAGGTTAACATACATTTTTTTTTTATTTATATATTTAATTATAATAATCTGTCACGTGGACAATAATTATAGTGATATATGAAGACATTCACACCAATATAAATATTAAATCAGCATTGACGAAGGACATAAAAATATTTGAAAATTAACTGTAAATTTTACCTGACATTGTATTTTAGTAAATCTTGAAGTTTCCTTCTTCTACTCAAGCTTGTCCCTCTAACGCTTTATCGCCCTTAGTACATAAAAACCTGTGGAATAAGCCCATTATTCAAAAGGAGGAGAAAAGTGGTTAGAAAAGGTTTCCAGGGTTAAAAAGCAAGCTTTTAGTCTGATTGACTTTTCCTGTAATCAGGGAACCTCGTTCACTCCGCTAGTGCTATTTAGCTGAAGAACCTTTATATGGAAAATAAATCGTTGTGTAACTACTTTATCTTGTTGGACTACTTTAATTATCTATTTAGCATTCTGGATTTAATGTGGTTTTTTTATCTTTGCGATAAAAAAGTCAAAACAGAATGTTTTGTCTTCGTGTCAAACAAGCTCTTGTCATATTTTAAGAATTTCCGGTCTTTCAAGAAATAATATAGTGCATGATCCTAATCTCAGCTCATTGAAGGCATCTGATCCGTCTCTAACGTGCCCGAAACAATGTCAGTTCAGTAACTTGGCCATGTTTGTAAAATCTGAACTACCCCACTTTTGCTTCCTTACTACCGAAGAAAAGGAAGCTTTGTATTTCTGCGAGAGGTTAAAAAAAAATTGTCACTCCCGTTTGTCGTTTCAGACATCAAGGATAAAAATTGGTACAGAGTGTCTGTAGTGACGGACATATCACCTACTACCTAACTTTGGTCTCATTTCAAAGCGAATAAATCTCCCACCTTTTGCTAAAGATTTCCATGGAGGGGGACTTTTGATGAGTCTATATGAAATTTTAGGGGACGAGGTGGCCGAATGGGTTAATGCTCGTGTGCACAGTACCGCAAGTTGCACGGCAACCAAATGACCTTAATATGAGATTAAAAAAAAAAGAAAAAGAACGAGTTCGCGTCCCGGTTTCTGAGAGGATTTTAAATTCCCCGCCCTCACCCTCCGGCCCCGGAAAAGCCTAAAAGGAGAAGTACGAAAGAACAGAAAAAAAATATATCACCTACTAATCTTTATCCGATATTCATGAAATTTTCTGTGATTGTGCAAGTTTGTATCTAGATGGGCCTATATTAATTTCATCGAGGTCCATCTAACACTTCCGCTTACGCATGCGCATTAGTTTTTTCTTAGCTATATCAATATTTCAGGAACGGCTCGTTCGATTT